AAAGACTTTCTTTGACTGAGGGCCATGCATTTAGAGGTGAGTCATGAAGGAAACGGCTTTCACTAATTATCTATGAAATATTTTCAGTGCTATGTTGGCAAACAACTCCCATAAATAGAGAGCTACACACACACACAACTTTGATTTTTTTTTCTAATTTCCATGGTGTAAACACTGCTTTTGTGGTATATTTGAAGGTGAAGTCATTCTGAATACAGAATCCTAAGGAGATGACAGATCTCTCTTGTGGGATAGTAGCCAGCTCCCTCTCGTATGGCCAGAGAAGGTAAACTGAGTTACAGCAGGAAGCAGGATGAAGGTGTGAGGAGAACACAGAAAGCCTGTGATATGCCACCGCCCCCAAATGATCACTGGAAATAACAGCATCGCCAGTCACCGCATGTATCTGCGGACACTATGCGTCAGTTCCTAGGGCAGCAGTGAGAAATCCGCTCAAACTGGGATTGAAGACACACGTCTATTCTCTCATGTGTGGGGAGGTCAGAAGTGTGAAACATGTTAAGTGGGGTCTGAATCAAAATGTAAAGCAAGGCTGTGTGTCCTTCCAAGGCTCCATGGGGAGACTTCATCTTCTAGAATAGAACGTCTTGGATTGTAGGTCATGGCATGCTCCTTCCCTTAAACTCTGGCATGGAGGATCTTACTGTGGGCACGGTGTGTCTCTTTCCTTGTGGGAGAATGGATGTCCCTCTGCCTTGCTCTCATAAGGATGTTTTGATTCTATTCAGTGTCCACCCAAACAAGCCAGGGCAATGTCTCCATCTCAGGGTCCTTAATATACTCACAGTTCAACATCCGTGTATCACACAAGGTAATACTCACTCTTTCTGTGCATCTGGACCTTGGTACCTTAGAGGCATTTTCCAACCCACCCCCAGAGACCATAGAAGATCCACGACCTGGTCTGAGAGATGTGGAGCATTTGTAAAATTCTTATGCAAGTAGCCTTCCTGAGCACATCCTCATAGGCACTACTCATGATGTTGACATAGAATACATGGCAGTTCACCCTAATGCATTCACACACACCAACTATACATTAACATGTGAGAAACAAATAGGAAGTTGTTAAGGAGGAGGATGTTTTTACAAATCAAACCTTCATAAACCCTCTGAATTTCTGCCCATTTCTTCCCTGTCAGGGAAAAAAGAGGTGGTGTCATGAGGGCACAAGAGGTTCCGATGGACAGGGAATAAGGTCTCTTCCACGAAACCAGCACCACCCTCAGACCTCAGAGGAGTCACCAGGAAGGGCCCTTCCACTCAGAGTCCTTACATTCCTGTAACACCTGAGGAGTGTCTGTGTGAAATTGATCCCTGTACCTAGAGTGAAATGTGCCCCTGTAGGTGGAGGAGGGGCAGGCCCACTCCTCACCTGAGCATGAAGCTCCTTGGAATGCTCTTTCCCAAGAAGAGGGAAATCCAATGTGGGGTCTGGTAGCAGCTGTCCTACATGTGTATCTCAGACATTTCAGGAATGTGTAAGAAGAATTACTCTACTCATCTACCTGCCCCAGTGACTCTCCTTGGGTTGGGTGCACCTGCCCCAGGTGAATCTGGACAAAGAGTCCCAGGTGTGCAGACCCTCATAGACTCTCTCACTTGCCTGCATCAGCACTGAATTCTCACGAACAAATGTGGACTTTGAGTATTCTCCATTTTATCCTATTTTCCAAAATCTACAGTCTGTTTTTTCTCTGTGCATAAACAGAAGGCTTTCCTCAGTTGTGTTACTTGTAAGCTATTTGTATATTGGTTCTGCTTAAAAATAAAACCAATGACAGAAAATGTGAGGCATTGTCGAATAGTAATATTCTTCTTTCCCTAATATCGTTGGAATGACTCATTTTTTGAAAATCTCTGGTGACTTATCACATGTAAATCAATATATTTTTAGATATTGTAACTTCTAGAATTTTATTGCTATTTTTTAAAATTTTATTTTTTATGTTACGTTAGTCACCATACAATACATCATTACTTTTTGATGTACTGATCCACGATTCATTGTTTTCATATAACACCCAGTGCTCCATGCAGTACATGGCTTCATTAATACCCATCACCAGGCCGACCCATCCCCCCACCCCCTCCCCTCTAGAACCTACAGTTGGTTTCTCAGAGTCCATAGTCTCTCATGGTTGGTCTCCCCCTCTGATTTCCACCCCTTCCTTTTTCCCTTCGTCCTCCTTCTGTCATCCACGCTCTTCCTTCTGTTCCACAAATAAGTGAAACCATATCATTACTGACTTTCTCTGCTTGACTTATTTCACTTAGCCTAATCTCCTCCAGTCGCATCCATGTGGAGGTAAAAGTAGGGTATTCATCTTTTCTGATGGATGAGTAATATTCCATTGCATATATGGACCATATCTTCTTTATACATTCATCTCTTGAAGGACATCTCAGCACTTTCCACAGTTTGGCTATTGCAGACATTGCTTCTATGAACATTGGGGTGCATACGGCCCTTCTTTTCATGACATTTGTGTCTTAGGAGTAAATACCCAGGAGTGCAATTCCTGGGTCAGTACTATACTGTCTTGATGATTACAGCTCTGTAATAGAGTTTGAAGTACGGAATTGTGAGGCCGCTAGCTTTGCTTTTCTTTTTCAACATTCTTCTGGCTATTCAGGGTCTTTTCTGGTTCCATACAAATTTTAGGATTATTTGTTCTTCCAATCCATTTCTTTGTGTCTGCATGTGGCTGAAAGCTGTTACTCAGTTGTGGGCACGGCCACTTTGTGCACCAAACCATGGAATCCTAAGTTGCCTCCCTCCCCCCGCATTGCACCTCCCCTGGGGGAGTTCCAGGGACCCCTGAGTATCTCTGTGCTTTGTGACTTTGCAATTGGGAGTGGCTATGGGCTCACACATGCACCCTCTTCCAAAGCTCCCAGTTCACGCAGGGTGCCTCCCTACTGTCCTTTTGTGTGCCACACCACCCTGAGAACCGTTGCCCTGTTGTAGGTGCAGGCTGTTTTATATCTCCCCTGGGATGTTAAACAGACTGCACATTGTAGTCCTTTAAAGGGTGGTCAGGGAAAGAGTAACCTCCCAACTGGCCTGGCTCATGGTTTATGGTGACTGGAGCTGAGATTCCCTTGTGGGATCACTGACAATAACTAGTCTCCCCACTCCACTGCTTGAGCACTCTATTGGTTCAGGCTATCCTGTTCCTTCTGAGTCTCCTGGGAACTGAGAACACAATGATACACCTAGAATTCTGCCCTATTCATCCCCTGTGCTCTTTCCAGCAAGGGATGTATCTCGCTGGAGCAGATTTCTAAAGGGCCCAATTTTTTGCTCAGACGTTATATCATTTTCCAGTGGCTGGCATATGGAGGCCCCCCCCCATCTTTGGATATTTCTTCCGAAGGTTGAAAGTTCCACACCCCCTATCTTGCAAAATTAGTCACTTTTCTGCTTGTACAGATCCAGATAAATCTTACATCTGAGGTTGAATTTGTGTGTGTTCAGAATGGTTTGATAGATATCCAGCCAAATATGAGGGACCACCTGAGATGAGATCCCCTACTCTATCACCATCTTGCCCCCCTTCTCCCAAAACAAGGACTCTGAATGGCACACTGGACCACATTGATTTCTTTTCTTCTTTTTTTTAGGTTTTAAAAATTTTTATTTAAATTTGGTTTCATTTACACATAGTATATTATTAGTTTCAGAGATAGAATTTAGTGATTCATCAGTTGCATATAACACCAGTGCTCATTCCATCAAGTGCCCTCCTTAATGCCCATCCCCCATTTACCCCATCCCCCCTTCCTCCCCTCCTGCCACCCCCAGTTTGAACACACAATTTATAACTTCAGGGTTTGGATGGGGGAATATTCCTCCTAGAATTCTAGCTTTATTTTTTTTCTCACAACATTATCTCCTGCAATTCCTTTTTTTTTTTATTGTGTTCAGTTAGCCACCATATAGTACATCCTTAGTTTTTGATGTAGTGTTCAATGATTCATTAGTTACCTATAACACCCAGTGCTCATCACAACACATGTCCTCCTTAATACCTGTCCCCAGGCTACCTCATTTCCCCAACCCCTCACCTCTGATACCCTGTTTGTTTCCCAGAGAAACAGATTGATTTCTGATATTTTTTATTTGGGTCCCTTTTATTTTCTTTTTTATAAATCTAGATAGAGGTCTCTCAATTTTATTTTATTTTTTTTCAAAGAACCAGGCCTTGTTTTTTTTTTTATCTGTTCTGTTGTTGTTTAGTTTTTATGTCATTTATTTCTGCTGTAATCTTTACTATTTCCTTCCTTCCATTGTATTTAGGCTTCAGTTGTACTTTCTTTAGGTCCTTCGGTTGTACGTTTAGGTTGTTTATTTCAGATTTTTCTTGCCTCTTGAGGTCTTCCTGTATGTTGTATATTTCTGTCTTAGGACCACCTTTGCTGCAGAGAAATCAGATGAAGGTGATAAAGGATTTATACTCTTGTGTGTGTGTGTGTGTGTGTCTGTGATCTTCAGAGGCCACATCCACACCACACCAGGAGGGGGTTCCATTGCTTTCCCATACTGTCACTAAAATTGTGATATGAGCATGGTTTAAGACAGTGACCCTCACCAAGACCCTTTCTTTTCTTGCTTTGGATTGTCAGTGCCTCTGTAGCCTCATTTCTTGCATGCACTTTAGGCCGCTTCTAGCCAGTTTGCACGTTGAGCTGGGTGGTCCTTTGATGCACAGTGAATGCCTCTGGGAATCCTGTAAAGTTTCAGTTGATGAGCATCAGGATATTTGCATTTCATTGGTATTTAAGGACTAGAATAAACAATATGAGTGACTCTGTTTTTTGTGCATATTAGTATAGTTGTTTTCCCATTAGAAAAATTTTCAAAGTCAGAGAGTAAAGAGGCAAGCACAGAATCATGTGTGGGGAGAGGGTCCCTGAGGGAAACTGCTCTGTGAAGAGGAATCCCCAGACCCTGTCAGGGAACCTGACCATAACCTTCATCTGCACCTGCTCCTGGGGCTTAAAGACAGAATTGGTGAGTAGTGTGCACCCCCTGGTGGTCCTGATCCTACTGTACTTTGAGGTTTGTGTCTGGGCTCACAATGACGTCCCCTCACAGTGTCACCGGCACAGTAATACACGGCCGTGTCCTCGGCTCTCAGGCTGTTCATCTGCAGATACAGCGTGTTCTTGGCGTTGTCTCTGGAGATGGTGAATCGGCCCTTCACAGAGTCTGCGTAGCCTGTGCTACTTCCATCACTGTTAATACCTGGACCCACTGCAGCCCCTTCTCTGGAGCCTGGCGGACCCAGTTCATGCCATTACTACTGAAGGTGAATCCAGAGGCTGCCCAGGAGAGTCTCAGGGACCCCCCAGGCTTCACCAGGTCTCCCCCAGACTCCACCAGCTGCACCTCAGACTGGACACCTGCAGACACAAGACATCCTGGTCAGGAAACTCACACATCCACGGTTTCTCTCATTAACATCCACTCACACACTCAATGTCTCTCCTTCACCATAAATTACCTTTTAAAAGAGCAACAAGGAAAACCCAGACAAGTACAAACTCCATGGGAGTTGTCTGTGTTCTGTCCTGATCACTGAATGGAACACCTGGGAATCCCTGGGCTGGGGCTCCTCCCAGGTGCAGGGTCAGGGTTGGGCCATTTTAATCAGTAGGGGGAGAACCCTATTTGCATGTCTTCTGAGTATATAACAAATTTTCCAGTGCCCTTCAGTGGCAGTGCCCTAAAGCAGTTGTGAGGATCCTGGGGGAGTTTGGTCACCATGGTATCTTTCAGCAAACTGCTCTTTTAGTTTGTGATTTTTCTAGGGCAATTCCTTACACCCATTATTTTCCTTTTTTCACATATGCACCTGGAACTTGTGATGTAGGTAACAATTTTACCACCATTTTACAGGTGGATAGGTACACACTGCAGCACAGAGAGGTTGTATGAATGTCCAGGATCACACAGCAGGTGAGAGTGAGCCCCAGTGTCTGGGCCTGTGCTCCTCACCATGGGACCTGGGTGCTCCCCTGAACCATCTGCAGGACAGAGATGGACATGAGATTTGTAGGCTTCCTACCTTTTCAGAACTCTAAATAGACTGATGTGTGGTGACCAGGTCTTTCTGTCACAGTAACATGGAGACACTGAAAAGCCTTGACAGAGACTCACAGAGTTGATGGAGACACTGTGGATTTTCAACAACCCCAAGGGGCATTTACACCTGATCTTTGTGTACACATCAATGGAAAGCCTCAATAGAGATAAGAGTGGAATTATTAGTCAAACAGTTAATGTCAGAACACCTGAGCTCAGAAAGCATGCTGTTAGTTAAAGACAATTCTTCATTTCTGAAATGGAGATCATTGTACTTCTACACTCTTATTTATTGCCATGATGATATCATTTATATTTATACCGGTGCTTGGCCCTTGGCAAGTTTGGTTATTGCCATTTTGATGGTTTATTCCAAAAATTAAGGACTCTTCTGTGTTTCCACAGCTTTTCCAAACTGTTTACTGTGTTCATGTCAGGAGGAAGTTTGCAGAACATGGAGTTGGAAACCCTTGAGAGTTGACCAGCCCTCTACCAACCTCCTGTCCTGGATCATGAGCTCCATGGATCCTGAGTCAGAGGGATTGTGAGCCTTCCCTGATGGTCCCAGTGCACCAGCTAGTGTCACAGTTCCCTCAGAGATATGGGGATGCTTTTTCTCCCTTCCCCTTTAATCCAACATGCAAGGAGAGACCCTCCCACCATGACCACTACAGATCATCCTGTTGAAAGGATGTCTCCTCCTACTTATTTCCTATACTTGAGCTCCTCACTCTGCTCCTTGGCTACAATATCCAGCCATATTTATTGTATTCACAGGTGAGGAGGAATCTTGAATCAAGTCCCTACTATCTATCAGGTGCCCTCAAACTTCTGAGGTCTTTCCCTCCAGAGGGTAAAAAGTCATAGATTCTATTGTGTGGGAAATGTTCCCTCTCTCAGTAAGGTGAGGTCAACTGCTTGTCCTGGGAGGAGTCGTCCTAGGTACCATATCTCTGATATGTTTTCAATTATATTTGATGTGAATCACTAATTAAATTGCCATTGGTCTGAGAATTCACTTAGAAGTGGGTATTAGATTTTAGCTATTCTGACAGTTATGGGGTGGGATCTTACCATGGTTTTGATTTGTACTTCCCTGATGATGAGTGATGTTGAGTGTCTTTGATAACCATCTGGATGTCTTCTTTGGACAAGTGTCTATTCCTGTCTTCTGTGCATTTCTTAACTGCAAGTTTTGGGTTTTGGGGTGTTGAGTTTGGTAAGTGCTTTATAGATTTTGGATACTAACCATTTATCAGATATGTCTTTTGCAGATATCTTCTCCCATTCATCACTCACATGTGGAATTTATGAAGGAAAACAGATGAACATATGGGAAGTGGGAAAAGAAAAAAAAAAGGAGGGAGGGAAACAACCATAAATGACTCTTAATAAAAGAGAACAAACCTAAGGTTGATGGAGGGAGGTGAGTAAGGATTGGGCGAGATGGGTGATGGGAATTAAAGAAGGCACTTGTTGTAATCACCACCAGGTGTTGTATGTAAATGATGAATCACTTTATTCTATTCCAGAAACCAATATTGTACTGTGTGGTAAGTAACATAATTTAAATTTAAAAAATAAAAAATAAGAAAAAAGCAGGTACTGGAATACTGGTTGGTGTCAGGTGGTAAAGACCAGGGGAACAGCACATGGTTAACATGCATCCTCAAACTTGGGCTTGTTCCCTGCAGAGGAAAGGTAGGTGCAAGGGAATGCCAACTGACACTTGTCATGAATTCTATTTGCTGTATTCCCCTAGCGCTGGCTTTCGGCCATTCTCACTGATCTGCAAACTTGGTCTTCTGGGGGAGGGGCCTGTTGCCATGGTTCTCAAATGTTTTTGCTTAAGGTGGAATTGCCCTGCCCTTGCCCAGTCGGGCTAAGTAATCTGCTCGAGTTTGCTCTCGTGAGCTTTTGTTTCCTGCAAGCTTTTGGTACAGCTTTGGAGGACTAGAGTGAAAATGGCAACCTCCCTGTCTCCACCCTGGAGGAGCCAAGAACTCGGGGCCCCATTCCTCAGTGAGCCAGAGAAAAGCAATCAGTCACTCCTGTCTCCCTGGTCTCCAGCCTCACTCCATGCTCACTTGTGACCAAGCATTTCTATCTCTGGCACACGACCCCGTGTGGAGTCTCCAAACCTGGCAGATCCCTGTGGTGTGCTTCTGCACCACTCCTCCCAGGGGAGGAAGGGGAGTCTCCCCAGATCTGCCCCTTGTTGGGTCCCTGCTAGAGGATCAGTGGCCCAACTGTGCTGTGGATCACGGTTTAGGGCAATCCCAAGTTGAGAGCCCACTCCTTGGCTCCAGCTCTGCAGCCAGCTTCCCTGCTCCCATACCTGGGAGCTCTGCTGCACTCAGGCACCCCCGGTCTTTCTGTGACCCTGAGGGTCCTGAGACCACACTGTCCCAGCGAGGGTTCCACCCCCAGCTTAGCCACTGGAGCCATGGCCCTCAGCAGAGCAGATTTCTAAAAGTTCCGATTTTGTGCTCCGGGGCTCTAGCACTTGCCAGAAGCGGCCGTCGGAGGCCCCCTCCCCCACCGTCTATCCTCCCGAATATCACCTCGGATTCACTTCTCCGCACGTCCTACCTTCCAGAAAGTGGTCGCTTTTCTGTTCAGAGAGTTGCTGCTATTCTTTTCTTCGAGCTCCTGTTGAGTTCGTAGGTATTCAGAATGGTTTGATCCCTATCCAGCTGAATTCCTGGGACCAGAAGAAATCCGGTCTCCTACTCCTCTGTCATCTTGAGTAGCCCTATATCACTTATTTATATTTACTTCTGCTATAATCATTACTATTTCCTTCCTTCTGCTGTATTTAAGCTTCACTTGTACTTTCTCAATCTCCTTCAGATGTAAGGTTAGCTGGTTTATTTCAGATTTTTTCTGCTTCTTGAGTCTTCCCATATGCTGTATATTTCTGTCTTGGGACCACATTTGCTGCAGAGAAATTAGGCGAAAGCGATCAATGTTTTATACTTGCGTGTGTGTGTTTGTGTGTGTGTGTGTGTGTGTGTGTGTGTGTGTGTGACAGAGAGAGAGAGAGAGAGATCTTCAGATTCCACATCCACAGCACACCTGGAGGGGGTTCTATTGCTTCCCCATGTTGTCTCTAATATTGATGCTTTGAGGATGGTTTAAGACAGTGACCCCCACCGAGGCTCTTTCTTCTCTTACTTTGGATTGTTGATGCCTCTGTAGCCTCATATCCAGCATGCACTTTATGCCACTTCTAGCAATTCTGCACATTGAACTAGGCAGACATGTGATGCATACTGAATACCTCTGGGATTCCTGTAAAGGTTCAGTTGGTGAGCATCAGAATATTTGTAATTCATTGTAATTTAGGGACAGGAATAAACAGTGTAAGTGACTCTGTGTTTTGTGCATTTTAGTATAGTTTTTTTCCATTAGAACAAATTTTCTAAGTCAGAGAGTGAAGAAGTAAGCCCAGAATCATGTGTCCAGAGAGACTCCCTGAGGAAAACTGCTTTATGGAGAGGAAGTCCCAGAACCTGACAGGAAACCTGCCCATAACCTCCATCTGCATCTGCTCCTGGGGCTTAAAGACAGAATTGGTGAGTAGTGTGCAGTCCCTGGTGGTCCAGATCCCCTACAATGTTGAAATTTGTGTCTGGGCTCACACTGACTTCCCCACACTGTGCCTTTCCCACAGTAATACATGGTGGTGTCCTTGGCTCTTAGGCTGTTCATCTGCAGATACAGTGTATTCTTGCCATTGTCTCTGGAGATGGTGAATTGGCCCTTCACAGAGTCTGCATAGTATGAGCTACCACCAGTATAGCTAATCCATGCGACCCACTTTAGCCCCTTCCCTGGAGCCTGATGGACCCAGCTCATGTCGTTACTACTGAAGGTGAATCCAGAGGCTGCACAGGAGAGTCTCAGGGACCCCCCAGGCTTCACCAGGTCTCCCCCAGACTCCACCAGCTGCACCTCACACTGGACACCTGCAGACACAAGACATCCTGGTCAGGAAACTGTCACACACCCACTGTTTTTCTCACTCATATCCACTTTCATACTCAATGTCTCTTGTTTTCTGTAAATTACATTTTAAAAAAGAGCAACAAGGAAAACCCAGTCAGGCAAGAACTCCATGGTGAGTAGTCTGTGTTTTGTCCTGATCACTGAATGGGAACACCTAGGGATCCCGGGGCTGGGCTCCTCTCCCAGCTGCAGATTCAGCATTGGGCTGTTTTAATCAGCAGAGGGAGGGCCCTATTTTCATGTCCTCTGACTATATATTCAGCTTGGGATCTATGTGAACAAAGAGGGCAGTGAACAGAGCAAATGTGACTGCCTTTGTTCTGGTGGTATTGATCACTTTTGAAAAAAAATATGATTTTTCATTATGTAACTTTCCAAAGTATGTATTGGCCTCCGTGTGCAAATTTGTTTTTACATATTTACACAAATCTTGTGGGGATAGGTGTCATGTTATCCCATAAATGTAAACCTACACCCACAATTTTAGAGGGTTTGTGAGGTGTCCAAGGGCACACACAGGGTGAGAGTGAGCCCCAATATCTGGCCCTGTGCTCATCCCCACAATACCTACTGCCCCCTGAATCACCTGGAGGACAGAGTGGGCAGGCTCATGAGGAATGTGGAACCCCTCTTGTAATTGGGATAGGATGATTTTACCTGCTTTAGAGTTTACCTGAAATATAGAGAGAATCAGGTTTCATGCAGGTGTATTTCTAACATTTCAATATCTATGTGTTCCTCCAGAGTCATTTCTGATTATTTGTAATTGTTTTGATGAGTATACTTGACACAGGATGAACTTTACACATGCAGAATTGAGTCTCTTGTAGATACCATATGTATGGGTCTTGATTTTTTTCTTGTCCAATCTGATACACTGTGTCTTTTGATTGCAGCATTTAGCCCATTTACATTCAGAATAACTATTGAAAGATATGAATTTAGTGTCATTGTATTACTTGCAAAGTCCCTTTTTCTGTACATTGTTTCTTTCTGGTCTATATTACTCTTGGGTTCTCTCTTCACTTACAGGATCCCCCTTGGTATTTCTTGCAGTGCTGGCTTAGTGGTCACATATTCTTTCAGTTTCTGCCTATCCTGGGAGCTCTTTATCTCTCCATCTGTTCTGAATGACAGCCTTGCCATATAAATTATTCTTGGCTGCACATTTTTCTCATTTAGTACCCTGAATATATCATGTCAGACCCTTCTGGCCTGCCAGGCCAATGTGGTTATCTCTGATGACAGTACAATATTCTTACCTATGTATGTTAGGAACTCTTGTCTCTAACTGAAAATTCTGAAGAATTTTCTCTTTATCTTGAAATTTGCATGCTTCCCTCTTATATGTCAGGGTGTTGATCTATTTTTATGGATTTTGGGAGGGGACCCCTCTACCTCTTGGACATGAATGCCTGTTTTCTTCACAGATGAGGGATGTTATCATCTATGATTTGCTCAAATATACTTTCTGACCCTTCTCTCTCTTTTCTTCTCCCTTGGACAACCCAAGAATTCTGTTATTGTTTCATTTTATGGCATCGCTGATTACTCCAAGCCTCTCCTCATGGTCCATTAGTAGTTTTTCTCTCTTTTTCTCAGCTTCTTTCCTTTCCATCAACTTGTCTTCTATGTCAATTGTTCTCTCCTCTGCCTCATTTACCTTAGCAGTTAGAGCATCTAATTTAGACTGCCTCTCAATTAGACCATTTTTAATTTTGGCCTGATTAGATCTCATTTCTGCACTAAGAGACTCTCTAGTGTCTGTTATGCTTTTTACAAGCCCAGCTAGTAACTTTGTAATCATTATCTTGAATCCATCTCTGACATTTTACATATAATCCTATAGATTAGATCTGTGGCAGAGAGTTTTACCTATGGATATTTCTTCTGTTTTGAGTTCCTCTTTCTGGTCATTTTGCCTAGAGAAGAATGGATAAATGAGTGAGCAAAACCGCAACTCAAGTAAAATACATACTAGACAAATCTGAAGAGTTCAGAAGCAAACAAACAAAAATGTGTGGGGGAGAGAGAATGTAATCTCCCGGGTGGCCAAAACAGGATGATCCACTTGGTTGTGAGTATATTTTGGTCTGTGTGTTAGAAGACACTAAATCGCAAAGTTTAAAGAAAGCAAAACTTAGAGGGAGGCAAGATGGTGAAGGAGCGGGGGACTCCATTTCAACTGGTCCCCCGAATTTAGCTAGATATTTACCAAGCCACTCTGAACAACCATGAAATCAGCCTGAGATGTAAGATTATATGTCTGGATCTCTTCGGGGGCAGAGGATCATCAGTTCAGAGGTAGGAAGAATGGAGTGGGGATTGCTTGGCCAGATGTTGGAGGATAAACAAAAGGGGGAAGGGACCACCAGAGGCTAGCCTTTGGAAAGGAATACCCCTGTGCAGAAGCGTCCTGGCTTGGGGACCAGTGATAGCTTGGAGAGCAGTGGCCGAGGGATGGGAAGGGGCTGATAACAGTGCTCAAACAGGACACGGGGGCTTAAGGGGCAAACGCTGGGCCTGGGGGCTGCAGCGCTGGAGAGGACCCAGCTTGGAACTAGGCCTGCAGACCCAGGGACTGGCCACTGCTCCCGCCATGGCCCAGGCCCTCTCAGTCCGGGATTGTTCGCGGTTTTGGTGGCACAGGGGACAGAGACAAGTGGGGGCAGGGGTCCAACACTAAGAGGATCGCTGGGGCGTGCACTGCACGTGGGAGGCTGCAGGTTTCAGCAAGAATTACAGAGGGAGAGTCTGTGTGTTCTGGAGGATTCAGAGAGGAGCAGATTGTGGCTTCTCTCCTCTGGGGTGAGGGTCTGGATGCAGACATTTTCCCTTGCTCTGACCCTCCAAAAAGGCGTGAAAAGCCACAAGAGAACAAAGGCCCAAAAAAACGGTTTCCATGGAACCAAGTCCCTTAATAGGGGGCAGGGCAATGCAGGATTGACCAAAAAACAATGCAGCAGGCCCCTTCCCCAGAACATAAGCTGGTAGAACAAAAGGACAACAACGCCAGCGTCCCCATAAAACTGTAAAACCCCAACACCAGGGGAAAATTTGTATATTAAGCTCCTGGTGTTGCCTCATGGCCTGTGAATTTCTTAGATACAACTTCTCTCTCTCTTTTTTAATTCTTTCTCATGTTTCTTCTATTTATTTTACCTACTTATCATTTCAATCAGATATTTAATACAACATATTCCATAGTAAATTTTTACTTGAACTTTTCCACACCTATACTTTTTTCTTTATATATATATAGATAGATAGATAGATAGATAGATAGATATAAGCTTCAATGTAGTCCTTTTCTCCCCACTCAATACTATCTTCATATATATACACCAGTTTTCATTTGCCTGTATCTCTGGGAAGAATTGCTCTCTAACAAAGAGAACTAAATACACACAGGAAGAGCTGAAACATTATACCTCGCCCACATAGAGGGATTATAGCCACCTTCCCTGCATCTCCCCCCCTTTGTGTGTGTGTGTGTGTGTGTGTGTCTGTGTATGTGAGTTCTGTTTCTTTGTTTGTTTTTATTCTTTGTACTTTATAAATCTTTTTTTATTATTATGTTATGTTAGTCACCATACAATACATCATTAGTTTTTGATGTGGTGATCCACAATCCATTGTTTTTGCATAAAACCCAGTGTTTCATGCAGTACGTGCCCTCCTTAATACCCATCACTGGGCTAACCCATGACCCCACATCCCTCCCCTCTAAAACCCTGTTTGTTTCTCAGAGTCCATAGTCTCTCATGGTTCATCTCTCCCTCTGATTTCCCCACCTTCATTTTTCCCTTCCTTCTCCTAATGTCCTCCATGCTATTCCTTATGTTTGACAAATAAGTGAAACCATATGATAATTGACTTTCTCTGCTTGACTTATTTCACTTAACATGATCTCCTCCAGTCCCGTCCATGTTGATGTAAAAGTTGGGTATTCATCCTTTCTGATGTCTGAGTAATATTCCATTGTATATATGGACCACATCTTCTTTATCCATTCATCTGTTGAAGGGCATCTTCGCTCTTTCCACAGTATACAGAACATTCCACCCTAAAACAACAGATAACTCATTCTTCTCGAGTGCACATGGAACTTTTTCCAGAATAGACCACATACTGGGTCATAAATCAGGTCTCAACTAATACCAAAAGATTGAGATTACTCCCTGCATATTCTCTGACCACAAGGCTTTAAAACTGGAACTCAATCCACAAGAAAAAAATTGGCAGAGTCATCTGGTCTCAGGAATTCAGCTGAATAGGGATCAAACCATTCTGAACACCTACGAACTCAACAGGAGATCGAAGAAGAGAG